TGAGGCAGTCGTGGAGGGTCGGTGATTGGGAAAGGGGCTACATAGAACTCTCTGTGAGCTGGATCAGCTCACAGACTCCTAGTTTGTGATCCCTGTGGAGCAAAGGGAGTTTCTCCCTTAATTTGCATTTTAGTGGTTTATTTCTCAACATTTACATTCTTCACTTTTCACCTTAAAACTCTCATCAGAGCTCTTTGATGGCAGGAGACTAGACCACTAAAGTAGAAAGGCAGCATAATTTAGCTAAAGGAGGACATAGATGGAACCCTAAGAAATTGGGGTCCCAAGGAAGAAGGGCTTGGAAGGGCTGCACCAGCCTGCCCCTCGCCCTCTCTCTCATACAAGAGTGCTCTCCTAGCCAGCTCTACGGGTTTGAATCCATCTCCACTGACATTCGTTAGAGATTATTTATGTCAACAGAAAAGTTTCACGTGACCCTAAAAAGGTGCGGCCAATGAATATGAGCCAGTCTGAGAACACTGGATATCTGCAGGCACGGCAGGGCGCCTACAGTACATGCTCACTCATCACACGACGTCCCGCGGGAGTCAGGGTTCAGGGTTCCCGAGCTTTGCCTTGTCCTCCCAGGCTCTTCCTGCTGGCAGAGCCTTGGTGTGGAGGGATGGAGGGTGGCCAGTGACCCAAACAAAGATAGCAGTTCTCATTTAGAGCCGAATGGTGCCACTGAGACACATGGAGAAGGGGTGGAATTTTGGCTGCCACTTTCACCGTGCTGAAAGTTTTCCTAAAATAAAAGGAAAGTCCGGATATATTGCATATGTTTCCCTAACCAGGGCAGCTCGTACAGGGGTGGGTTTACTTGCTTTCCAATCTTCACTCCATCACTCTGGCTCTCACAGAATCACCTCTGAGCTCAGCAGACCCAGCCCCACCTCTCCCAGGCAGATTTTGTGAGAGGACGGTGGCAGTCCTCCTTCTCACCCTCCAGCCTGGGGCGCAGGGAAGGAAGCCAGGCTGCCGAAATGCCAGGAGACACGAGCAGGAACAGTGGCTCCAGTGGCTCCCGGGGCACCAGGGGGTGTGGTCCTAGGAAGAGGGGCTTCTGCCTCACTGTTTTGTGAAGGACATTTTAGCAGCAATGCCTGGTTCACTGCTAGGTCAACTGCGTCCTTGTGTTTTAGGCTGAGCTTAAGGGCTGGTTGTGATTGATACCGGCTCAACAGAAGGTTGACACGAGGGAAGCCATATTGTAGAAAAGAAACCCTATTTTAACTCTGAATGACCTCTGACTAACCAACCCAGCTGGATAGGCACCCTCCAGGAGATCTAACTGCTCTGTAGATTTTACGACCCCTGCTGGTGCATGTACCTCCCAGCAGCGATAAGATGATAACTTTGTTCTTTTGAGTTCCTTAGGAATGTGATGACCCCCAAATAGAGAGTCTATGCTGATAGCCATCATCAATGAAAACTGAAAGATCTGGTGTGGCACTCCCAGTCTGTAACACCAGAAGGTCAACATTCCTAACCCTCTGCTCTATAACCCACTGGCCTATATAACTGCTGTAAGATTTTGTGCCCCCTTACGATGGTTCTTTTGGACATGAGTCGGCCATCTTCCCTCTTGCTAGCAAGCTGTAATAAAACGTCTTTTTTCACCTACCACCTTGCCTCTTAACAATTGGCATGTCTTGCGGTGGGCAGATGAACCCCCTTTTTGGGCGGTAACATGATGACAACGTGAGTTCCTACTGTGGAAGGCCCAGCGTGGGGGTGGAGTCCTGCCGAAGGCCAGCAGATACCCCCCACCCCACAGCAGACTCAAGTTAAATGCTCCAGACCTCTCCCTGTAGCAGTGGGGTGGGGGGTGCTCTGCAACTGGAAGTGCTGGATGCCAGGTGCAAGGTCACCTGGGGAAGGTCTACACACCTGGGAGGACTTGCCACTGATTACCACGGGGACTGCTTTGTAAGTGTGACTATTTCCCTGGCCCTTTTATCCATCTATTATGGAGCTAAGAAGGCTCCCCACCTCCACCCCTCCAGATGCTGCAGCCTGTGATAATGTGGCCACCCCCGACTGGTGGCAGGGATGTGTGTGACAATCAGGAGGGCTGAGGACTATGAGACTTCCTAGGGCTTGATCTGACATCATTTCAAGCAGATGATAATTATGAGGCTCCCTGCATTCCCCACCAAGACACATGCAGTTATTTATAAACACAGGCCCCTGGGTGCACTTCTTACGGGAAGGACCACAGTGACAGCAATGGAGAGAGCGGTGAACGCACACACACGGTGCTAATGGAGGGGGAGCCATGGAACACAGTGTGTGGAGAATTCCAGGCAGGCTGGTCCTGTTCAGGGGAGCAACCCAGGCCTGTTCCAGGCCCTGCCGAGCTGCTGTGGCCTGTGGGTGGGAAATGTGGCTTTCAGAGTTCTGCTAATACATGATAATACGCAGCAGACATGGATTGTCTTGTGTGTCAAGGGTGGAGGCATGAGATGAGCTGCTTTTTCCTCCCAGGGTTGGCAGGAACTGGAAATAATTGAAAGTTGTTAGAGTCCAGCATGCTGTCCTGAAAACACTATCATTACTTTCCTAATGACTAACTGTGTCTTTCAGGAGGCGATGAAGGCAGCTGAGAGGCCACGGGCTCCTGGAGAGGACAGGGAAGTGGGAGGCTGGCAGCCTGTAATCTGGCAGGGACAGAGGGTACTCTGCCTGCACCCCCGCCCTGCTCTCTCGCCTCTGGAGTGTGGTCCCCATGGTCCCTCCAGACCCTCTGCCCACAATGTCAAAGTGAGGGTGACAGCCAGGGCCACACAGTTGGGACCCTGTAAATCCGTGCAACCTTGGTCTCCAGGTCCAAGTCCTACGGAATGTTCTGCCAGCATCTCTTCTTGTTCACTTCCCTCATCACGTCCCAGCGTCCCGACCCAACCGTGAGACCACCCAACCAGGCCCCAAGCCTCCGCTCTCCCATTGCATCCTCCTTCCTACTCCCACAGCAGATCTGTCCAGAGCACTTGGTTCACCATATCTTCCTGCTAAGAAGGTGACAAGTACCACCCACACTGCTGGGAAGGGCCCCTCGGCCCCTGCCTCCGTGACCCCCTTCTTTGGAAAAACTCAGGACCCAGATGTTGCTTGATTCCCGCTTCTCCCAGCGCTGCTGGTCCCCACCCCCACTCCTTCTCACCCTCCAGCCCAGGCTCTTTCTTTTTTAAAAGTTGTCTTTGAATTACACAAGTGACATGTGAAGACATATGAGCACATGGCTCTTCCTGACCCAGCCCTATGCCCACGATGACTGCTGTCCTGTGTCTGGTGTGGACCGTCCAGACTTTCTCCCTGGGTGCTGCCCAGCCTCACCCACTCTGGGTGCCAGTTGGGTCCCTTGTGTGCTGTGGTGAGGCTCCAGGTACTACGGTCATTTCTAATGCTTCCACAAAAAGAAGAGGTCATGATGGTGACCTTTGAGTGGGTGCTTCCAGCCGCCCTCCTACACCTGGTCACCAGCCCACAAAAGAGTAGGGGTCACAGGGGAGAGGACTGGGAAATGCCTCTTACCAGGGTCTAGGGACAAATGGTGCCAACGGGGAGGGAGGGGGACTTCCTGTGGGGGACACAGTGGTGCCCCAGGCCCATCTGGCAGCCAGCCGACCCCTCCCCTTGCTCCGAGGCCTGAGATAGCCCAGTAAGGCTGAGCTCTGTCCTGCAGCTATGGGGAGGGGGTCCGCGGGATCCCCATCCACCCGCTGCCGGCTGCGGGGTCACTCCTGGGACCTCGAGGGCGCCGCGTGTCCGTGACCCGGCTGATGCGGGTCAATGCTGCACGATCCTTGCTAAGAATAGGCGACAGCGCACACAGGAGACAGACACAAGGGTTCAGTGTCACGAAAACCACCGGAATAGAAACATAACAAAGCAGCACGCAGCCCTGGGGGTAGAGCAAAGACAATGACACCAAACACCGAGACATCCTCTGTCCCCCAAAACCACCGGAATAGAAACATAACAAAGCAGCACGCAGCCCTGGGGGTAGAGCAAAGACAATGACACCAAACACCGAGACATCCTCTGTCCCCCGAGGACGGCACAGCTCTTCAGATGTCTCGGTCACCGTCCTCGGGTCACCTGCGGACAGGTGTGCCGATCAAGCACCTGTGGACGTCGATGCGCAAGCCCACCCGCCGAGGCGGACAGAGGGGCACGGACAGCTGGACACATCGGCCGGACACATGGATCCCGCGGTGTGGGCGGGAAGAGGGCACCTGCGGGACGGGACAGGTGGGGCCGGGCTCGCGGGGGACGTCAGAGCCCAGCCCGGGGAGGGGCGCGGGCAGGGTGGCAGGGCGGGGCGGGGGGGACTGCCCTCTTCACTGACCACTGCAGGATCCGGCCCCCGGGGCTCCAGCCGCAGCCTCCGAGCAGGGCGAGCGCGTCCAAGACCTGCGGGGAGAGTGGTGCCGGGGTCGGGCCGGGCAGGTCTAGGTCCCTTCGGCCTCCCCAGGCCGGAACCGCCCGGGCCAGGGCTCCGCCCCTCCCCCGCCAGTGACCCCGCCCCGCCTCCCAGCTCCTTTTCCCCCCACTTGTGGACCCGCCCCAGCCCCGCCTCGGCCAGTGACCCGCCCGCCCAAGGCCCCGCCCCATTCCATTTAGTGCCCCGCCCACCTCGGGGCTCCGTCCCTGCTCTGGCCCCGCCCACAGGCAGTGGCCCGCCCGCCCAAGACCCCGCCTCCGCCCCGCCCCAATAGTCGGTCCCGCCCCCATCGCCATTGGCACCGCCCCGCCCCCCGCCCCCTTGACGCTGATTGGTTTCTTTCTGGAGAGCTTTCCGAGCTCCGATTGGCTGCGACCGTCGCCGTTCCGCCGTTCGATTGGCCCGCAGCGCCCGCTTTCTTGGGGCCCTGCCCTTGGGAGGGGGCGTGGCCAGAGGCGGCGGGCGGTGCCGGATTGGTCAGCGGCGCAGAGGGGGCGGACCCGCGCCGCGCGCAGCGCCTGGGCTGGAGCGCGAGGAGCCGCTACCGCCGCCTCAGTCGCCTGAGACTCGGTCGCCTCAGGCTGCCGCCGCCGCCTAGATCGCCTCAGACTGCCGCCGCCGACCCGACCGCCCCGTCACCACCCCGCGGCCCCGCCCCGGCCTCCCGCCGGCCGGCGAGGGGCACGCCCTCTGCCGCGGGACCGGTGAGTGAGTGGTCGCGGGCGGGCCGAGGGCGGGAAGGGGGTCAGGGACCAGGTCGGGAGTCGGGAGTCGGGAGTCGGGAGTCGAGCTGAGGTGGCGGCCGGGCCTGGGATCGGGTCAGGAACCGGGGCCGGGTGCTGGGCCGGGGTCGGGGGTCGAGCCGGGGTCGGGGCCAGGGATCGCGGGTCGGGGTTCGGGCCAGGGCCGTGGCCGGGGTCTGGACCAGGGGCGACCTCCCGCGGCCGCCGACTTTGCGAGGCTCCGGGGCGGGGGGCGCACGCCTGGGGCCGACCGAGCCCCGCCGAGGGGCCGAGAGGCCGGAAGAGCCCGCCGGCCCGACCGGCTTGCGGGGCGGCTGCGGCTCCGTGTGGGGCGGGGCGGGGCCGGGTCCGCGGGGACCCCGTGACCCTCCCCGCCCGACCCAGCCGGCGGTCCGGCCGCGCACTCCCGGGTCGGCGCCGGCCGTCCCCGAGCTCTCCGACTAGCCAGGCCGGGCGGGACCCCGACGGGCGGATTGAAGACCGAAGTGACAAAGTGGCTTCGGGGAACGCGGACGCGCCTCCCGCCCCGTCTCCCCGCCCCTCCCCGCGTCCCCGTCCCGAGGGTGGCGGAGGCCCTGTGCTTCCCAGCCAGCGGACCTCTGCGCGGCGGTGCTCGGACTCCGTGAGCCTCTCAGCGAGGCGGCTCACGTGCCGAGCCTGCGGTTGGGAAGGGATCTGGGGAAAACGCCCCCCGCGCCCGGGGAGGCGGGAGGGGTGACTTCCGAGGGTGCGAGGAGGTCACGGGCGGTGTCTGACCGCCGCGCCCGCGACACCGGAGAACCGGCCCGTGCGATGCCCCGCGTGCCCCGCCCTCAGACGCCCGGCGTCCGCCCCGTCGTCTGTCCGCGCCGCTCGGTCCGCCCCGTGTCCGCGGGGAGCGGCTCGGAGGGGCGGGTGCCTGTCAGGGTCACCGTCTTTTCTTCCCTTATTTGGGGGTGCGTCAACGCGTGTGTCGTCTTGTTCCCCATGTGTTCGGCTCTGGACGTGTCGTTGAGTGAAAATGTTTAGTTTTTCCTTTTGCCTGGCAGCGTTTCTCATTTTTGTTTTTCCTGCTCTGAAGTGCATTACATGCATAAGAGATTTGAAAGTTAACAGAAAGTCAGATCTGAACTCTTGTGGCTCCGGCTTGGTTCCTTCCTCCCGCCTTCCTTCTCTCCACTGACGAGGAATCGTGGTGTGTGATTCCTCAGAAAGGATGCCGGGGCGGCAGGGCCCTGGCGAGAGGCCTTCAGAGACTAGACGGGGTAATACACAGACCCTGCTGCGCAGGCCCTCGCGCATCCTTCCCAAATTTATCTTGCGTTCAGGGGTGAACTGTTGCCCCCTTTCTGTTCTTTGAACTTGGCTTAGATCTGGGAACCAAAGAAGTGTATGGGTGTGTTCTTACGGAGAGAACTGATTCCCCGTCCTCTCATGCACAAGAACTCATCATCTTAGAATGTCTCAGAGATGCCCATTTTGGTCCAGAGAAACTGCAGAACTGTGGCACTCTGGGGGGATCACTGGCAAGATCCGACAAGACCTCACTGATCCTCGCATCAGAGGAGCTCGAGTAGTTGTGAGTGGTGTTTTCAGACTTGGAGAGCCATTGGAAACCGAAGGGTCTTCAAATACTGACGTCAGTCACTTTTGAGAACTGCTGTTTTTCACTTGTATGTAGATGCTGTTGTTTACACAGTGCAAGTTCATTACAAGTGTTTTAGAATGTATATAACTTTATGTATTTTCTAAGTTAATACTCACTATCATAAGGTTTTGATAAAGGTTTGATGGTAAAATGAGTCTTTATAACTAAAAAGATTGGGTGTCCTGCATAGAATTCAGGGCTTTGTGACTGGTGTTGCCACAGATGGTGCTGATTAGTGGTGATATTGGACCTCAGAACATCACTTTTCCAGACATCTTTATTAATACTCAGGGTTGGGGAAAATACACAGCTTTATGATTACATTTTTTAGGTATTTATGAGAAAATTTCAACACGTGTTCATTTTGTTAGATGTTTAAAAAGAAGCTATCTTTTTTTCCTGTTGTTCGAGGGAGGCTGAGAGCATGCTGCGTTTATTTGCAAAAGTCTCATGGGGTCCTTGAAACAATCTAGACATTCGAGGCTGGTGCCTGTATTTCAGTTTCAACAATTTCAGTTCCTGGACCTGTAGCCAGTTCCTGTGTCAATGGAAAGTCATTCCTATGTTTACAGAAGTCTCAGGGCTTTATTGTAAAAGTGATCACTGAAGCAGATTTTAGTAGGTGGAAGTTGCACATCCCTTTGGTGAAGAAGGCTGGTCCTTTGGGCTATAACAAAGAAAAATACCTGCTCATATATTGGAATCACCCTTGATTTAAAGATTAGAATGAATACTGTAGATTTGGGGGCAGCTCTGATGTCTCAGCTCAGCCTTGGTGGCAAGGACTCCTACAGGCAAGTGGTGGGTCCACTGTCCATGGTGCTGAACACGTGTCGTCTGTTTCTGCTTTTTCATCTCAAATTTGCTTTCCAGTATGAGAGTGGTTTTTGGAGTATGTTTTAAAACGAATGTCAGAATTCATACTATTAAAGAAAAGTTGAACAGAAGAGTTCTTTTGAACCTGGAAGCATGGAAGCATGCCTTTTAAAAACTCAAGCCATGTTGTTGTCTCTTTTTTTAAAGTGGATAATTGTGCCAACCCAACATTCTTTTTCCCTTGCTCAATCTCCTTCTCCTCAGGTGGGAACTTTTGAGTATGGACATCAAGTAACAAACCATTGAAATTAAATAAGACCCTGTTTTTGTAACAACCACACTCTAAAAAAAATGTACTCTTTATTATAATATATACACATATTTGTGCATAGAGGCAATTTGTTTTTACCTAAGCAGTGTCGATTGTAGCCCCCCCCCCTCCCTGCACATACACTGGCATGGAGCATCCCAGCCTTCCTGGAGAGGCCTGGAACCCTCTGCATGTGTGGTGGGCTGTTGGGCAGTTGCCAGGCATTCCTGCTGGGTTGGAGCAACATCCACTTTTCTGTAATTTTGAGGACATCTTTGTAAATCATTTTAGATAAATCCTTCATTTCTCTTGAGGTTAATTTTGTCTGTTCCTTTAGAATTGCCCCACAGGTTAGCAATAAAAAATAGTGAGTGTCACTTGTGCAGAGATTCTTCCACAGGATAGAAAATTGTGCATTAAGCTAAGCAGTGGATTGTTGAGGTGTTTTTGTTATGAGCATCTGAATTAGCTCTTTGGCCCCATCACTGGCTGTACACTTAACTGAGGTTACTCTTCAACATCTGTTTTGTTGAGGGAAACCCAGGGCAGCTTTCTTCTGCCTCCTCCAAGCTTCAGAAATGCTCTCCGAGTGCCTACTCTTTACCAGGCCCTGTGCTATGATCTGGGAACCCACAGGAGAATGAGACAGAGTTCTTATCATTGAAGGACTCACCACTTCCAACTGAGGAAAGGACATGTAAACAGATGGTTACATGGGGCCACACTCAGTGCTGCAATTGGCATACACAGAAAGCTGGGTTGGTGGGCTGAGGAGGGGTGATTGATTTAGCCTGGGCATCAGAGAGGAGGTGGCCTTTGGGCCGAGATCTGGAGGATGAGTGGTAATTGTTTGGGCATAGATGGGTATAAATTGATTAGAAAAAGATGAGAAGGTTGGTAACTGGAGAACAAGGTGTGTGGTGGTGCAGAGGCTGGAGGTTTGGGGGGCACTGTGAAAGGGTTGGAACTCTGCTCAAGAAAGAGTTGAGGAGAGGTTGTGTGGTAGGCAGAATAATGGCCTCCCAAAGCACATCCTATTCCCCAGAACCTGTAAATGTGTTAGGTTACATAGCAAAAAGGATTTAAGATAGCATATGGAATGAAGGTTGTTAATCAGGTGATTTTAAAATAAGGAGATTATCGTGTATTACCTGGGTGGGACCAAAGCATTCACAAGGGTCTTAAATGAGGAGGGAGGCAGAAGAGTTGTGTCAGAGTGATATGAAGTGAGGAAGACTCTACCAGTGATTGCTTTGAAGATGAGCCAAGGAATGTGGGCAGCTTCTAGAAGCTGGAAGAGGCGAGAAAATGGACTCTCCCCTAGAGCCTCCAGAAAGGAACACAGCCCTGCTGACACTCTGATTCTAGCCCAGTGAAACCTGTGTCTGACTTCTGACCCCAGGACTGTAAGATAATTTGTGTTGTGTTAAGCCACTAAATTTTTGGAAATTTGTTAGAGCAGCCACAGGAAACCGCTACAAGTTAGGACTCTGCTCTAGGAAGTTTTAGCTGATGAAGTTTAAGGAGGAAATAACATGATCAGATTGGCTGTAGAAGATAAAATAATCCAGCTGCTGTTTGGGAGGTTGCCCCAGGTAAGCGTGGTTCTGATCCCCAGTTTCACCTCCTGGCAAGACTGGCATCTGATATTGTCTTACCTGGCCTGAGCCCCACATGGAGTCTTCTTCCCAGCAGCCTGCTCAGTCTCCACCCCTGCTAACTGCCATGTCCCACTGGCCCACCTTTCCTCCATGCTGGGCACTTGGGAGAGAGTGGACCAGGCACACATCTACAGGTGGGATTGGTGGGGGGTCGTAGAGTAGGCCCAGTTCCAACCTCAGGGCTGTTGTCAAAGTATTTTCCAAAGGTTTGTTTCTTTACATCCTCACTAATCCTTTATAGCTTCAGATGTTTTCATTGTTGTCAGATGAGTAGATATGAAATATATTGCTGTTTTAATTTGCATTTCCTTGATTACTGGTGAGTTTGAGGACTTTTTATCCATTTATTGGCCACTTGGTTTTCCTCTTCTATAAATTGTATTCTTATATTGTCTGTCCACTTGTTGCCTAGGTTGTCCTTTTTAGAGCTTTTTAAAAGTTCTTTATTTATTCTGGATTCTATTTGTGTCCTATTTTTTATCCTTTTAAAAATGTGTTGTTTTGATGAACGGATGTTTAATTTTAATGTAGTTGAATTTATCAGTCT